TTATATTCTAATCAAAAGATACAATGTACTTCAACATTGATAAGAGAAACAAATATTCACCAGAAAAATGCTCAAGAACAGACACTTGGATTGGACTGTTAAAGCACCCTCCTCGTCAGATGTTCTTTCGTGTTTAAATGTGGCTTCAAGACAATGATGTAGCACTTGGGGAGAAAGATGCAGCCCAAGAGGCCAGCGGTAGAGCCCAGGATGGAGAAGATCTCCACAGCCACCATGTATTTCCCCTTTGTGCTCAGATAGGCGGGGGTGAAGGACACCCAAACACTGCAAAACACAAGCATGCTGAAGGTGATCAGCTTGGCTTCATTGAATGTATCGGGCAGCTTCCTAGCAAAGAAAGCCGCAGTGAAACTGATGCTGGCCAGAAACCCCAAGTAGCCCAGGACAATGTACCACATGATATCTGAGCCTTCATTACATTGCACTATGATCTCGTCAGTCGGGGACTCCATGTCTAACTCTGGAAAGGGAGGAGAGGTGGCCAGCCACACTGCACACAAGCTAATTTGAATGAAAGTACAGAAGACAATGACAAATCCTGCCAGTCTTTTCCTTATCCACTTCCTCATCCGGTTTCCTGGCTTGGTGTCCAGAAAGGCCAGAACTACCGTAATGGTTTTGGCCAAGATGCAGGAAACACAGATGGAGAAAATGATGCCAAACATCGTTTGTTGGAGAAAGCAGGTCACTTCTCCAGGGCAACCCATGAACAGAAAGGAGCAGAGAAAGCAAAGCAGGAGAGAGGAAAGCAGGGCACACGTGATACTCCTGTTGCTGGCTTTGACAATGGGGGTGTCCCAGTGCAGAATAAGAACAAGTGCCACAATAATGGAGGTCACTGAAAAGAAAAGAACAAAGGAAGTCAGAACGATTCCTAAGGGTTCCCTGAAAGACAAGTAGCTGAACATTTTGGGGATGCATTGATTCTTTTCCTCATTGGAATAGTGATCTTCTGGGCATCTCTCACACTGGTTTGCATCTGAAATAGATAGAGGAAGACCCTGTAATTTCCTAAATAAATAAATAAATAAATAAATAAATAAATAAATAAATAAAGAGTTCCCTTTCTACATAAACACCCTTCACATTTTGGTTTTGTTTTGTTTTTTATTTATCAGCAAAGGGTGCTATTCTATAATCGATTGGTAAGCATTCAGCTTTGTTTTCCATAACTTTATCTAAATTAATTTGCCCTTTTCATTATTCCCCCAAAATTGAATTTCACAAGCTGTTGAGAGAGACAATACCATGTATACATAGATTTAATCATTTTAAATGAGCCACTACTGCTCCCTCTCCCTTTCCTCAGAATTTGACTAAATAAATCCCTTCATTCTGAATGCTACACATGATCTTTTTAGGCAAAAGAGCTAACCCCAATGAAAATCGGATATCATTCTATATTTTCA